ATCTTGGCTGAAGTTTTTTATCTCACAGCCAACATGGATTCCTTGTAGCTGTTCCCAAAATGACTTGTTTTAGAGGAAAAGTTCTTAAAGCTTGACTGCTTCTCCTTGCCTGGTCATATAAGTAGCTATTCCATGTACATTATGCTTATTGTGGTTCATGGTTGAGATGAGTGTTGTGTTTTTTAATAATGAGTTTTTTCTTCTTTCATTTAAAAGAATAACATTCAGCAAATGTTCCAGAAACTCCATGCTTTGTTAAAGGAAGAATTTAGTAATGAAGATCTGCAAATCATAGCTTGTCCTTCAATGGAACAGGTATGTATTGAAGCTCTATGTTTTATCAGTTGCTCTTTCATGTGACTTGCTTTTCTAAACATTGATTTTTTTCATTTTTAGTATTTCCAGTGTTCAGAATCTTTATTTATTTATTATCCCCCTTAATCCTGGATGATTAAACTCAGGGCATTATCTGAACTTTTAGGCTCTCAGCTAGAAAAGGGCTTTGTTTGGGTTTTTCTTTAAAGACTATCTAACTGATTTTCTTAAACCAAAGTGATGATTGATGTTGCTGGGACTGAGTTGTACAACATTGTAGAAGAGTTTTTCTGTTTCTAGGCATCGTCTTTTCAGAGAGATATCAAAGCCAATGAATGCGCCTTAAAAAAGCCTGTGCATTTGAAGGCAGTCTTGCTTTTGCCAAATATAAAAAGCAGCAACTTCTGCGTTCAGGAAGCGTGAGAAAGAATTACTAGGGTGCATTTCAAGTAAATTGCATTGGGAAAATGTGCAGTTGTTATGGAAGTGTAACCCTACGTGGTAGGTAAAGTCTTTAGTCTCAGAGATGATTTGGTTTAAGAATTCTCTCTGTTAGGATTTTCTGGCAGAAACCAAGTAGGTTTTGAAGATGTCACTTTGACCTTAGTGGTCTAGGGAAAGTGGGTAGAATCTTGATTATCACAGGATGCTAATATTTAAACAGGTAAACTAGTTTGTGGGTTAGAGGATGTTTCCTGCAGTGAATGTGGCCACAGGAATGTGTGATAACTGTCTTGAAGCACAGAGTGGGACTGATGCACCATAAGGAGGTGGGGTTATCCTAGAGAAGATGGCTTCCTCTAATCGTTTATCTTTTAAACCTTAGGATCACTTATCCTACAAACTGAATTGGATGGGAAACCATATTGTAATCTGTAGGAAACAAGTATTGCGTAGGATCCCAAATGTATTTCAGATATCTGAGATGAATGTTACCATTTTTTGCCAGTGTGCCTGTTTTTTGGAGTTTCTTGACAACACATGAAGTCATCTTAGAAAATTTGACACAGTAGCTTGTGACTGGTGAAATAAGTAGCAGTATGGTCAACAACTGCATTTTAAAAAGCCTATGAGTAGGCACTTGACTGGAAATTTTGGCTGGTTGTTTTGTAACTGTCTTCTCCTGACTAATGTGCTTCCTAGGAATCCTGTTTAAAGGTTAAAATATAACACATCAGTTCTGAAACTTAGCTGTTCTGTCTAACATAGGCTTTCCCTTTGTCTTTCAGGTGAACTTATTATTATCGATGTCTAAGTAAGCCAGCAATGAGACTGCTTGAAATAAGCTTCAGGTGAATGCCAGGCAGTGAAGGAAACACAAAGACATTCACTTGAAGTAGACGAAGGATCCCACTGTGCAGTCCAGTCTGCATCAAAACTTCTAGGGGAAAAAAAAGAAAAAAACCCAAGGTTTTTCTGTTCATAGGCTTGAGAATTGGGCAGAAGAAAACAAAACAAAAAAACCTTTGCTGATCACTCTTATGGAAGCTCAGTTACTGCCTTATCCAGATGTTTTCAAAGTTGAAGCCTCTTGTTTTTTGCTTTTTAATGAAAAAAACGTTTTTGCTTTCCCTTAATAAGCTGATGTATGCAATGGAAAGTCGCACTTTCAAAGACACTCTGGAAGTAAAGTGCAGAGAATCAAATGAGAGCAGTAAGAGATATCTGCAAGACTTGGGAGATAAGCACATTGGTATGACAGTTTGACTTAAGCAGGCATGCCCTGATTTTTTCTTTAACTGCCATGAAAATCCTGGTAATCCACCATGTACTCGAACATAATTCAGAGGTTCTTAGTTGGGAAAACTTTATTTCCCACATGTGAAGTGTTTCTTGAAACACTGGATGTGCTGTTTTTCTTATACTGTTGTGACTGGGAGCTGTGAGGTCTGACCTGAAGTTTTACTAACCTTCCTCTGTAAAGGGTCTCACCTTCCTCTGTAAAGGGACTCAGATCCTTGGAATTTGCAATGGAAAGCTGTGCAATATAAGTTCCGTTGTTTCTAGGGAACTGCATCCTTTCAGATGCTTTACAGCAAAGCTTAGCATTGAGGTTTTCAGGTACTTAGTTTTAGGGTAGAGTTGGATTTTTGCCTTTCCCAAGATCAGATGGTGGTTTCATATTGTTTAAAGCAGGATCAAGACTGGAACTTGCACAACCTTTATGCCGTGGAGTAAGGGGGAGTGGGGATGCCTGAAATTGAATGTGCAAGGCTGTCAAATCAGCATTGCAAACAGAGGATAGGTGCTCGGTACCTGTTAAACAGTGTACTCTGTTCAGTATGCATTTATTGGTCAGTAGTGCAGAAAGCTGAATGCTAAACACCTGGGCATTAATGGAATGAAACACTTCAAGCAGCTTCAGGGTGTGTCAGTGTGTAAATCCTTATTGGTCAGCACTGCAAAACAGAAATGTAGTGAGAAACACGGCAGATTTTTTATTTATTTATAAAACCTATTCTGTACTTCTAAATATGAAGAAATTTCCAGGCACATTGGTGGTATTTTGATTTAATAATTTTCCTATTACAAGTTACATGAATGGAGACCAAGATGGTAGGATTTAAAGCTACCACAAGAAGTGTTGCAGCAGTCGTGCTGAGGTACATCAATGGTACTCCTAGGACCTCATATGACCCCTTAAAAATTAACTAACAAGGAAGAAAACTTGCCCTTTCTCTTTACTTGTGTAGAAATACAGGCTGTAAAATAATGTCCAGTGCATTGTAATATATGTATATTTGTTTTTTATGAAGTTTTTCAGAAGGACTGCTTGGTCACTGTACAGAGTTATGACTGACTTAATACAGACATTGTACAAAAAAGACATGAAGGCTAAACCGTGGCAGTAGTCACTTTTGTGGTTGGGATCTTTTTCTCTCTTAGAGTACCCAGACAGCTGGTGGAAAGATTAGAAGAGCAATCAGTTTATACAGCCTGTTTGCTAAGTGAACATTTGTTTAAACATGTACAGTTTCAGATATTTACGTTTACAAATAGTGTAAATACTTTCAAAAGATTAATTTAAGATGCTTTATATTATCTGACTAGAAACTTGCTGTTTTTAATTTTTTTAAATAAAAATGTTGCCTCCTATTTTGGTCCAAGAGTAAAACTTTATTCTGTATCCTGAGGCCTGTCTGTCAAGATAACTGTAATACAGAGACAATAAACATCCTGTAAGCACAGGCAAGTGCATTGCTGAGAAGCGTTCTTTTTTTAGCAGCAAGAGAACTGGGTTTATTTGGCACACATACATACCTGAGTGCTGAACGTACAGCTAATTGTTAAATTAATGCCTCTTTATGGTTATAATAAAAGTAAATTTATATTTTCTTTACTGACAAGCAGTCTTGTGTGACTGATTGGTCTCTATCCTTACAATTTTGTTAGGGGGAAGAAACCACAACTGTAATACAAAAACATATTTTAGCTATTGGCTTTTACTAAGAGAAAACTTGGGAACTGGTGGCAGAAAACACAAGTATTACTGTATTTGATAACTGTTCTTACCTGGTTACTCATAGACTCATCTTCCCATAGTTCCTCATTACCACAGTGTTCTTCTGGCCCTTGGTATTGTATCATCCAGAGACTTGTGGTTTGTCTTCTGTAATGTCACCATGAAGCTTCCCTTCACCCTCTGTCTTTGACAACATCATTTGAATGAACTAACCTAAGTAGAAACCCTCCTGTGGAAATCAGCTTCTGTCTGACAGGTGTAGGGCAGCGATATGTGACTAGCTTCCTAGAGGCTTGGAGCCTCCTAAAGAGGTTTGGCCCTTTGGATTGCATTTCATAAATGAGGTGAATGCCAAAGCAGCTGGCCAGGCATCCACCCTTCTTTTATTACAACAGTGATGCCTGAGGCATAACCTTACACTGTGGCATGTGTTTTTCAAGCAAAACTAATAGTCCTTTCCTCACACTGCATGTTTGGTATTGACAAAGTGATGTGGGTACGAAAAGGGGAAATGGAAACGTCTGTGCTGCTGAAGCAACTGCATGTTGGTGACTGCAGGTAGATCCAACTCTTTGTCCACAATTGCTGTTTTCTCCTCTCATGCATTTTCATCCAGCACTGTGGAGCAAATCAGATCTTTGATGTAAAGAGCTCTAAATAGAACAAAAAGAAATCAGTTGATCCCTTTTGAGGTGCCTAACCCTGCCACTAAGCCATGGGAGGTGCCACCTACCATGAACTGGAACCTGGAAACCCCAGAGACACCTCATCTTTCCTCTCTTGGGTTGCCCCTGGTCCCTGTACCTAAGCTGCTGGTTGCCATCCCCTCTCCACCAGCCCGGGTGTCTCTGGCTGAGAGCCAAAGCAGGCTCATCAGTCACATTTGGTACAACCAGTTCCCAAAATTTCCAGTTTGTTGGCTGTAGGATGGAAGCCATCTGCTTCAGAGTACTGCGCATTCACTGCGTAACCCCACTGATCAGACTGTGATCCATCAAACGCTGTCAGCTGAAAGGAACTTGGTGCTACAAGGACTTGATGTACAGATAGGCATTGTGAGCTTGAAAAAAGGAACTTTATTTTCATTGCAAAGTGACTGTTACCACTTTGATGAAGGAAGAGTTGATCTGAAATGCTGATGTAACTGCTTGCTGTGAGCACAGATATCTTCATTTCAGTATTTCATGCAGATACAGAAGATGATGAAACACGAGGAGTGATATCAGTGAGAAAGGGATTGCCAAAAGTATTGCAACATTGTCTGATTTTTGGACGGCAGTCTCCTGAGCTGAATCTTTTTATACTGAAGGATGAGCTCGTCTTTGCTTTCTGGCCACTTCAGTAGGTGACTTTTTTCTGGGTCTTTCAGCTGCAAAGAGAAGTCCACGCGAAGTGAAAAGTGTTAATGCTAAACTCTTTGAGGGGAGGCCGAGTGGGAGAGTATCCTGCATCTCTTGTAACCCAGCCTTTCTCACTTATCTGTGTAATGTGTCATGGGTGCCCATGGCCATGGAGCACACTAACCCTTACAGCTGCCCTTTGGAGCTGATCCTCTTCCAGTACATGTACGAAGGGACTGAGGAGCTAAACTCACGACTTGAGCCTGCTCTGGTGAGAGTGGGCTGCCCAGAAGTAGTGGGGCAAGGAAGATGACCTCCTTACCTAACATAGCAATTGGTCCTGAGAAGTCTGAGTTTTGGGGGCCAAAGAGCAGTAACCAGTGCTTTATGGTTCTGTGTACTTGAGGCAGTGTGTAGTTACCACCTTTCTGAACAGCTATGGCAGAGACCTGTTTCCCTTGGTGATAGATCTGTGACCACATACAGACTATTGCTGTGAGGATAGTCATCATTTGGTTTGTGCCTGCACCAGGGAAGACAACTTAAGTCCTTTACTCTGAGGCCTCAGCCCCCAACCAAGCACTGTGTTTCAGTGGTGACCTGTTGTGTTTGCATCTAGTGAAGGACAGGGTTACACACCAGTAGGCTGGGACTGTCACAGTGGCACTGAGCACAGCTGAGCCCTGACCAGAACGGCATTTCCACCTCTGGGGAAGGGTCATAGGTAGGAAACCTGAGTGACAACAAATACCAGAAGATTCTGGTGTTCCTCTCCCCAGATGCTTGTTTCACGTTAAGTGAAATGCTATTTAGATAAAATCAGAGGCTTTGTGCTTCTATTGACATTTAATATTAAGGTTTTGAAAAGAAAAAGTGTTTCGAAATGAATCCGTGAGTCTTGTTGTTCTTACCCTTCAGCGACAGCATTTCAATCTCGTCTAAATGCTTTCCTGAGACGGAATTTCATTAAGAGTCACACAGGCAGGAAATTTGGTTTTGAAAGAAATGGTGATTTTTCTGCATGAAAATTTGTGACCAGTCCCAGACAACAGTCCCAAGCTTATCTCCACTGGGGGGTTTCCCTGCTGCTCTCTGAGGAGCTGGCAAACAGGAGCTGGCCAGGCTGGGCTACCAAAACCAGTGCTTGCCTTGAGCAGGGAGCCCACATTGAAGCAGACCGATTGCTGTGGCTGGGGAACACAGTCGATTTCACCTTAAGCCAGGGTTTTAATGGTGACCCGGCAGTTCAGTTTCATGGGGATGGACTGCAAAGGAGGACTGTGAGCGTGGTGTCTGAAGTCATGCCACTTCCAGAGCTTCTGACTGGTCCTTGCCCAGTCCAAGTAGATCCCTGTGCATGGGTCCAGGGTGGCCTTGGGGAGAAACACACAGATGAATTTAGACCCAACAACTGCCCAGTCCCAAATGCTGTATTTTGTCTGCAATTGGACCAAACTTCCAGTTTTCCATTCAAGAATCACTTCTGGGACCAATCCCTTCTGGGGCTGGTTTTTGGTGAGGTTTTGCATGTTACAGAGATTGGATGGCCCCTGGGAGAGCAATGAGTCCCTGAAGGGCAGAAAATATCCTTGGGCAGAGTGTGGATTGTGTGTGTGTGTTCCCCTCCTTCTATTGCGTATCTACATCTTCTGAAAGTCCTTGGACATGGGAATTCCTTTTGCCCTGGCAGCCTTTATGCTAAAAATAGGTCTTCTGTGCACGTGTGTATGGTTGTGCATGTTGCTGGGTGAGGGAAATGGCCTTGCCAAACTACAAAGGAGAAAGACAGTGTGTGAGGGAAAACAGCCCATATTTATGCATACAAATACAAATCAATACTCCCTATCTCATGACAATCTGCGTAGATGATTCTGGGTGCTGGAGCATCCCCCTAGCAGTGGCACATGGGGAGCTTTTATCTTTCACAGCATGTGTTACATTGAGTTTTTCCTGCCTAAGCATGAAGAAGTTGATTCTCACCGGGCTGCAAAAGTGGCTTGGCCTCCCCCAGCATTACCTTGTGCTGCAACTTTGAAAAAACAGCAAGAAAAAAAAAAAACAAATCTAACTTTGCTGTGATGTGCTACAGTGTGCTTGCCATGGGCAAGCCTGAACCAGTCCATAGTAGGACAGGCTGTTGGTTTTCTCTTTTCCTCTCATCAAAACTACAATATTCTCTTTACAAATATTGGAACGGTCTCTTAGTATTGCACTTTAGTGCTGGGGGAGGCTGGGTGGGTTGCAGCAGCCTGCCCCAGCTCAGTGGTGAGCCAGCAGCTGGTACATGGCTAATACTGATGGGAAGCCTGTGATCCTGTGAGGTCAGGAGAGACTCACAGCAGATCAGCAATGGTTTAGTGCTGCCGGGGATCGCCTTGGTGTCAGGCTGTAAAACCTGGCTGCCGTGTGATGGATGAAAGACCAACATGTCTGCAGGCAAATGGTAGGACTGCAGGAGTCTGATGGAAGCATTATTGCAAAAGCTATTTAAAATGATTTGCAATAGCCAGTTAGACATTTAGGATGTTCATTAATTAGCCTCAGCACAGGGCGGACTTGTAAAATTGAGATGGGATTTACTGATTCCCCCAGACACTAGCTTTCTGAAGCGAAACTTTGAAGACTGGGATGGGGTGTCAAAAATTAATATTTGATGGCTCAAACACTAGCCAGTTTTACTAAAGCCATCAGTCACTTCATATTACAACTTAGACTGCAAGAAGGAGACTCCTCTAGATAAACCTGCCTTGGCAGCGGGGTTGGACTAAATGATCTCCAGGGGTCCCTTCCAACCCTAACGATTCTGTGATTCTGTGAAATTGGTCACCTAAGTCATTCTTTAGTGAGAAACACTCTGGAGATGTGAAACAAACCAGAAGCAATGCTAACCTCAAGCTAACTGACTGGCTCTTTTGGATTCCCCTCATGCAGATAGCAGGCCCATGTTTTTCCAACATGGCCACTTGGGGCTCCATGGGAAACTGGTAAAGTAGATGCCAGGATCAATCCTCATGCCAGGGGATATGAGGACATCTGTGGACAAATGTCACTGGCAATTGAGATGGGGCAATACCCAAGTGCCCTTGTGCTGTGCACCCTGCCCGCACCCGAACCTTGGTGCACAACACAAGAAACGACCACTCTAGTAGGCTGTACTTTTCATGAGGTTTCACATGGGAAAAAATAAAACTAGAGTAAAAAATTGAAGGTGCTTTTGGCATGCATTAAAGCCCTGGGATGCCACTGGGACTGTTTGGGTGTGAGCTGGTACCTGGTGTCCCCCAGGCTTGCAGTCACCAGAGGTGGCCATCAGGGTGGGAGCAGACCCTGTGACCATGGCTCCCAGAGGCAGTCCTCAGCCCTGGGTACCTGCTGTTCTGCATGCAATAGGTGAACAGGCCTTCCTTGGTGAACGTGATGAAAACAGCCATGTTGCCCAATGTGTAGCTGACAAACAGTCAAGGAAAGGTGAGCCCACAGAAAGCCCACATAAAGCAGGCTTTGGAAGAAAATCATCATGGGAGAGTGTCTAGGGGAAGTTACCCCAGCTTCCACCACCCTTAAGACAGCCACCCCCAAGACAGCCAGCTCTGTGGACCTCATTTCCTTACAAGAGCAGCAGGAGTTGTGTAGCCAGTCTAGGAGGCTGAGGGGAGTTATCTAAGGGAGGAGGGTCACAGTGACCCACCTGGAGTCAGGGCATTCCTGCAGGTGTTCCCCCACACAAGTGTTGTTGCTGCTGGATACTAAATCTGACCACTTCCATCTTGGAACAGGAGAAAAAAAACATCTGTCCATCAGGATAACATTGTCTTCTGAGCTCAGAAGAATGACGGTGCTGCAGGAGCAAAACTGAGGTGGTGAGAGGCAGGAAGAGATGTGGGGAAAGTGTGGTAGGGTTGTCTGCCTGAACATAGAGGATCTGGATGCTCTGCCCCAGGTTTTGTTTTCCCCACACCGGTACCAACCCTGGAACACTGCCAGACCATCAGACTCCATGCTTTCCACGTAGCCTGGGTTTAGGATTTTTTTATTTGTTTGCTTACTTTTTAATTAAACCCCTTCAAATAACTGAGAAAAATTCATCCTTCACTTCTGTGTTTTCACATTTCATATACAAAGCTCAAGTCTTCTTATGCTATGTTAGTAGCTGCTCTCTGAAAATATAATTTGCTAAGGGCCCTCTTTCCATCAGACACAGAAGAATTTACCCTGCAAGGTACCAACGAGCAACATAGAAACATTTCTTTGCTAAGGGCTTAGCTCCCAGCGCTACAAGGGAGCTGGGTTTAACGCTGTCTAACAGAAATAAGCAGTGTTACCACCTGCTTCTCTGGGAAGAATGGAGAGCAACTAGGAGAGGGGAAAGCAAAGAGTTTATCATTAATGCATCAGCTAATTTTCATGTGCAGAAAGGGACTGTGCTCAGGCTGTGTCTGTCTCAGGGACCCGAGGGACTTGTCTGCAGCAGCTCCCAGGTAGCTGCATTTTGTACACATGAAGTGTCTGACTCCAGCTGTAACTGTGGCACTAATTTATATATAACCTGAAGATGCACATTTTGGCTCTGCAGAATAGCTAAGAATCTCCTTCCTGGTTGTAAGGGATAGAGGGGAACAAAAAAGCCACAAACCGGAGATTTGTTCTTGCTTTTATTTTTCAGGCTTTTTATGAGGCTAAAAAGACAAATAGTCCCAGGCAGGAGGATTTGCTACCCCTACCCTATACTTCAGGATGGGAGAGCAGTATAATGTGCTTCTATGTTGAAAATAAAAAACCCAACAAAATCACTGATTGTGTGATAAATAACAGGTAATTTTCTTGCACACCGACAGAAACAGCAGTGCTGTCTCACTGGGGAGGGGAGAGGGGAGGCAGGGAGGGAAGAGAGTGCTGCAGGGGCCTGAGCTGTCAGGGGGATCCCATCCAGCCCCTGGCTGATGAGACAGAAATCCAGTCTTTGCTTACCCTCCCAGGGTCACTGGGACTGGGACAACAAGCACTGGGGAGCTGCTTCTCTTGGCAGCTGGGTTGAGGGGACACCAGGACACACCATCCCTTGCTGGACACAGTGGTGATGTCCTTACTGATGAATTCAAGGCTGCTTGTATCCTATAAAGCTTTTGCCTGTGCTGTTAAACTCTTGGACCGGGGCTTGGCCTGGGACCAGGAGTACATCCCCTCCTGATTTCTAGCTGAGCAGCCTGGATCTGACCCCGCTAGGCAGTTTGGGTGGAGCAGCCTGGTTTGGAGGGTAAGAGAAGTGAATGGTATGGAAGTGAGTAGAGCCTGTTTTCCTGCCTTTAGGTCAAGTGGAGCTGCAGGTGATGGGGGAAGGCATGTGTATGCACTTCCACAGGTGAGGTGAGTCTCATCTTTGGGGACATCCTGCTTACACATGTGTGACTGGGAGCCCTGTCTTACTCCATCTGCACGTTGTGTCCCTGACTGCCACTCCAGTCTCTCAAGGCAAAACTCAGCTTGTGTGGCTGGTGGGACCAAGTGCTGCACACCACTTACAATGCTGATCCCTGCAGAGCCAGAAGACAGACCCTGCCCAAAGGGCTTAAAACAGAACCAACCCGGAGTCCTGAGTTGCATTTGGACTTTGTACTGCCTCTCAGAACTGGAGGCAAATTTCAGTGTGGACTGTTGCTTCCATGAAGATATGATGGCACTTGCAAGTCTAACCCCAAAGGATCAAAATGATGGGAGAAAAGAGGAAACAGCAACAAAGCATGGATAACTCAAGTGATGCAGAAAACCTTCTGCTATCTGGGAAAGCATCCCCATTTCTAGGAGGAGAGGGAAACGTTCCGTGTGACCCTGTGGCTCCAAGGTACACCACTGGACAGGGATGAGGAACCCTCCACCAGAGCAATTACCTTTCCCTCCTGTTTTTTCCCTAGGTGAATTAATTTCATGCTCGCCTCTGGTGCTGGAGTGATGCTCAGTTGGACTCCTCTTGGCTACAAATAGCAGCAGCAACTCTCCAGTCTCTTTCCCCAAACAAGGATGCCCCCAGCAGAAAGAAGTGCCCCTTGTTGTTGCTCCCCAAACAAGCACTGCTACAGGGTTCTGCTTCCTGGGGAAAATACACCACTGAAAAAGTGCTCATCACTGGTGATCTCTGGATATTCTCACTAACTGACCAGCTGGGTCTCACCTTGCCTGTGCAGAGGGCAGTGACTCTCCATCATCTTCATGTTCTCCTCCCTTGGATAGAGACTCCTCACCTGACTCTGGCATTGAACTCCCTTGGGCAAGCTCAACAGGCTCCCAGATCACTTTTTGCAAGGAAGAATTGCCAGTTACCTCCTATTCATTCAACACAACTTTGTGTGCAGGGGTTTTCTCAGAGAAAAGCTTTGTCATCCATTGCTTCCACTCTGCCTCTTTTTCTTCTGCACACCTCTTTGTGCTTGAGTCCATCTTCCACTGGTCTGGTGGGGGAAGACACACATCCCAGCAAGTGGCATCACCCCCCCTATCCTATCTGTGCAAGGGGAAAAGTAGTCATGCTGGTTAGGCACAATGCCATTTATTCCCAGAAATGCCAGCTGTTCTCCAGTGACACCGCAAGAGCTTGGGAAACTGCATTTCTTCCTTCTCCTTGGGAGACATCACTTCAGATTTGAGAGAGGAAGCTGCTAAATGAGCCTAAACATTGTTCTATGCTTTCAAAATATTCATAAATAATCTCAAAATAGCAGCAAGCAGAGAGAGGAGAAGTTTGCTGATGACATTAAGAGTGGTTGAGGCAAACGGTTGACTGTGAATAGTTGCAGAAAGACCCACATGGCACTGAATAAAAGGGTAATAAAATCACAGATGAAATCTGATGTAGATAAATGTAAAGTGATGCACATGGGAAAAGACAATCCTAACTTTACATACAAAATAATGGGCTCTGAGCTGGCTATTTCCACTCGGGAGCAAAATCTTCAGGTTATAACAGATAACTCTATGCAAATGTCAGCTGAAGACTCAGTAGCAATCAAAAAAGCAAACAGAAAACTAGGAATTATTAGGAAAGGAGGAGAGAGCAAAACAGGGGAAATCACTATGCTGCTGTATAAATCCGTGGGCTTCCTTCTCTTGAATACCATTGTGCAGTCCTGATTCACTGATCTCAAATATGATACAGAAGAAATAGAAAAGTTATAGAGGAAGGTAATTGAAGATGATCAAAAGCACAAAAGGGCCTCCATTCAGGGAATGACTTAATAGATTAAGACTTTTATCCTGGAAGAAAAAATGACTGAAGAAGAAATACGACCGAGTTTTCTGAAAGGAAGAGCGATGTGACTGGGGAACAGCTGTTCATATTATTCAGTGCTCTTCAAAGGAAGAGAGTGAACATTAAAGAAAATTATCAAGTGACAAGTTCAAAATAAACAAAGGGGATTTTTAGCTGCGGCACTCCTTGCCACAGAGTACAGTGGATGTTTAAAATTTGTGTTGTTTCAATAGGGTGAAAGCTAATCAATGGAAGAGGAATCCATCAAGGGCTATTAAATGTAAAGCTGGCATCTACAGTTCAGGGTGTTCCTGAGTCACTAGGGAAATGGAGAGTATTCTGGGAAGTATAAACAAATGTTTACTCTATTTTTGTATTACTTCCTGAGCATCTGCTGGGTCTCATCCAGGGTAGGATACTGGGCCAGGTGTATTTTGGGGGCTAACCCTATGCAGTCATCCCTATGTCCTGCATTTCACACCAGACCATGTCTCCCACTAAGGCAAAATGGCCTGAGGTGTCTGGTGCTATTGTCTGTCACTGTTTCTGATTCAGGCCCCTGCATCACAGAGGTAGAGCTGCTTGGTGGCTCTTCAGCGACCAAGGCTCTACACCAGGACCAGTTTTCAGTGTTACAAGTCTTCCACCAAGACCCACAGGCAGATGCATCCCATTTTCCTTTATCTCCCAAAGCAAAAGCCTTCTCTTGCGTGGACAAGTCTTCTCTGCAGCTCCTCAGCTGGAGGCCAAGTTGTTCTGGAATGCAACCTTGTGCTCCATGCAGACCTCTCATATGCATCTCACTCTGAAGTGAAAACGTGACCTGTTAGTGGCTGTGTCTCAGAACAAGGATGTTCTATGGCAGTCAGCTCACATTCTTCCAGCCTGAGCTAGATCACCCTGGATTTATCGTTCCAAGGCATCATGGAAAGAGAATGCTTGGTTTTGAGCAACAGGAAATTGAGGGGAAAAGAAAATTCAGCAGTGGCTCTAATGGCCAGTCCAGACCTGAGTGATTCACTAAGATTTCCCCCAGTAAATTAAAAGCAAACACTTGAATGCTACACTGACACAGTATACAAGTGCCTCTTCTGGTTGAAACCTCACTACCTTAATGACAGACATTATTGTTCCCGTGCACTTTTCCAAGGTTGCCTTAAAAACCATGCCTTGACCGTTTACTGGCTAATGGACACAAACTAGGGTTAACCTCGCTGTGCACCTCTTTTACAGCTAGAAATGAGAATGAGGGATAGTGGCTATTACAAGGTAATCACACCCAGGGGGAAATTCCTGAGCTCAAGTATCTCTGTTCCCCAGATCAGGGTAATCTCATTGCATTTGGCTAGCCGTTGGCAAAGCTTGTCAAGCCAGGCTGGCTTGTCACTCTCAGCATTTAGGAGCTTGTCCCATTCCTGGAGGCTGTTGCATTGCCCAGGCATCCTTGTGTTGACGTCGCATGCTCAGTAATGTGGTGGTGAGGCTTATTTTCTGAAAACCTACCATTTTCACCTATAAAGCCTAATTTAAAGTAAATTTAAGTTCAAATTCTATTCTTATTGATGTTTGTGCTTTTTTGCAGCAACTCTGAAGGAGTACTGATAATACACAT